CCCCAAAACCCCAAAACCCCAAAACCCCAAAACCCCAGGACGCTTAGAGCAGATTGGAAGAGTTTAGGTTTGGATGAAGCAGTAATTTTGAGTGAAGTGGTAGAAGGGGTTGAGTAGAAGAGGAAGGAATGGGTGAGGTGGGGTTGAGGGGATTAGAGAGAGTATTAGAGCTTTGGGGGTTCAGGAGGGGCTTTAGGGATGACTTTGGAATCTGTGTTTTTATGGATTAGGCGGTGTGGAGGGGTTTTGATGTTATTTTTGTAACTTTTTTTGGGTTAGGAATTCACATTGAGATAGATACCAGAAGAGCGTGTTTAACAATTTTTTATAGCCTTAGGATGCTATTAATTGAAGGTTAATCGTCGTTATTTTCTCCTTTGAATTTACCTCACAATTTCGGATATTCTTCTAAAGCAATTTTTAAATTGATACTTATGGCTACAATTATTTTATATTATCTTCTAATAATATCTTCCTTCATAATATCAAAGGATATTATGGGGCACTCCTATTACTTCTGAGGACTTTATTTTATCCAAAATCTGGTCAATTAGCTTGTATTTTTCTCCTTGAGATATATTTATCTCTCCCTCTCCACTTTGAGATCTGCACCTGACCTTGATGATTCCAAAGAATATCTCTACGGCTACAAACTGAGGAGAATAAGGAGAAATGAAACTGGGGGAATCTCATATTTACTCTAAGGTCTTTTTTACTCTCGCTGTTTTATGATAATTCGAATTTTCCAAGAGCACAACAATTCTTTCATTCCATATTTCTCTTCTTCTTTACATTATCTTGGACAAGTCTTGCAGATATCCAGAAAATATTGAGTCATTCGTCTTCTTATCAAATAACTTTACAAAGAAATTTCCATTTGTAGTAATGGTTCCAATCATTTTCAAGCTGTTCATAAACTTAGAGACCTTGAGTTCTCTCTTTTTGCCCTTCTGAGCCCATCCATACACTCTCTGGATCTTATGAGTGAAGGTGGGCTCGTCTAAATTTACTAACGTCGCAGCTTCGAGGGAATGGCTCACATACTGATCACAAACAATTTCCTTATCTAAGGTAGCTTGTTGAAGTCGATCTTCATCAATTTTAGGCTCAACTTCTTGAAACTAAAGATCGAAGTTATAATTTCATTATCTTGTAGGTATCTCTCCCGAGGCTTTTATTTGTACTCGCATCCTAACTATTTATCCTGATAAAAATAAAAATAAAAATTTCTTTCTGAAAGAAAGCAAAATCTATATCAATCAAAATCGAGATTAGGTTAGAATTTTTAAAAATTTCTAACAACAATTTTCCTATGTGTAGCATAGATCTTTTGAAGGTAATTAAAGCCTTCCAAGTTAGTAGAGTATCTTCAAGCTATTGATCAGTGAAGGCAATCTGATTAGGGCATTAACTTTTCAAACAATTTCACTCTCTGATAAAGATTCATACTACCAATTTGCACATGAAAAGTCACATTAAAATGCCGAAGAACAGGTAAAAAGTGAACTTTGTTGATTAAAATCAGAAATTATTAGAATTTTGATACCCTCTGATCCTCTTCCAAAATTATCATCTCTCTGAATCTAATTTAAAAAACTTCTAAATATTTCTTATCATAACCAGGTTCTTATCGCGAAGATTTCCTTATAAAAATTATGCTTTCTAATCTTCATCTACATGGATCAGTCTTGAACTGTAAAATGAATCTTATTTTATGTTTGGCATAAACCTTCGGAGCTGTATAACTTTTATATTCTTGAAATAAAATAAATTATTGCACTTTAAAAAGGAGATTTCAATATTCTCACTGGAACAATTAAGGCAAATTGTTAATTAATTCCCTCCTTTTGATTACAAGGAACCCTAATTTTCTTAAGCATCGATATCAGTATTATTCAAAATGTATTATTTTGTTATTTTTACTGTTGGGGTTATCCGAAAGCTTTTGACAAAAAATAATATTGTTATCTTTGGAATTATTATTAAACAGAATATAGACCAAATAGGGAGGTAAAAGAGATCATAACATTTTCTACTCCTAATTTCAAATGACTCAAATCAAAAAGACTCCTTTTAGAACCAAGACAGATTTCTAAAAAATTATTAATAAATTAATTTCATATCCTTAACTTTCTTCTTCCATTTTTAAAGAAGTTCTAAACCTTTTGGTTGGAAGACTCCAGCAAACTCCTGATCGTGTCTTGAAGAATATGGATGGTTTTCCCAGGGAATTCATAAATTAAATCATTGTAGTCGATTTCCTCTTGGTTATGGATTCTTTTTATAATCTTTTTTAACTTTCTCATCTCTCTGAAGGAAAATTCTGGGTTTCATAAAGTCTTGATACGTGCCAAGAGTTTAGCTGCAGATGACCTCCAATTTACTTTGCTGCATAGCTCATGAATTCCTTCGTAATCATTGATATTTGTGTTAGGATGAGGATGAAGAAGTTCATCAAGAGTGATAATTTGTAGTTGCTCCATCTCCCTGATTGTCTGAAATAAGAATTTGTCCTCTGATCTACCCCATCTTGTATTTGATATTTTGGCGACTTTTTCTTTCTTTCTGAGCTGAATTGAGTTGTCCATCGTAGCCTTTGAAGTATGCACTTTAGTAATCCCAGTACTGTTAAGGCAGAAGTCAAGAATTTGTCTTCTTTCTTCATAACTTTCTAAATTTTGGAAGGCTGAGTGTTCAGGATACATTGATTCTGGTAAAGCATGGTCAATTAAGCTTAATGGGGTCTCATGTAAACTTTCACATATGTTCATTTCTTTAAATCCATTAAGCTCAAGAGCTTCAATATGAGAAAACTCTGGAACATCTAGTTTATCTGGGCTTTTTAGATCACCAAGAGAAGAATTTTGATCTATTATGAATTGTTTATAAACATTAAGTTAATACCTTTAAATTTCAGAAGATGATGACCCTAGTTTCACTCATAAGATATTAATACATGTGATGACTTCAAAAAATTTACAATTCTTTACACGTTCTCTTTGATTAAAAGCTATTGCACTTCAGCAGAAGAAAATTCGTAATCGGCAAATGGGAGAAACACTTTTTGAACTATAATTAATTCATTCTTAAGCTATTGCAAATCCATTAACTAGAGTAATAAAAATAATCAACACAAGGATACAAAGTTTGCCAAAACGATCGGAAAATCAATTGTACACATAAATTTGAGGTCTTGGCATACCAAGACAATTTTAAATTCTCAATAGCTTATCTTTATGAGGAGATCTATAATAGTTATTCCTAATTGTTGTTCATTGTCACAAAGCTTAGTGTAATGGTCTCATAATAGAGAATCAGCTTACCTTCTTCAAAGAAAAGTTCCTGAGGGTTTATCAGTTCTAAAGGTTGGAATACCTCTTCTGCAAAAGAGTCTTTGGGAGAATTTCAACCCCATGCATGAACCCCAGACTTAAACACATCACATCCTGCACTAAACATTCCCTTAAACCATTACAATTAGCTTACCAATTCCAACCCCCCTATCTCTTTGCAACAATTAAACATCGCAGTGCCTTATCTCTAAAATATTACTATAATTCCAACCTCTCCTCTCTCTTATGGGGTTTTGGGGTTTTGGGGTTTTGGGG